GGGGGGGGGCAGAGGGGAGGTGGGGGGGTGTGGGGTGAAACGGGATGGGGCTCGGGGGCGAGGCAGGGGGAGCCCGCGCGCTCGTGCGCATGGAGGTGGGCGACGATGCTTGTGCAGGTCATGAAAGGGGTTTCAAGAGAGGCTCTTGAGCAGATGGCGGCCGCGTCTTGCAGAGCAGGAGCGGCTTCACTCTTTGCTTGTCCTTCCGCCTGGAACCCTCAGCCGACCCCAAGCTCGTGCACGCCGCCGCATCGGGGCCCTGGCCGCGGCCCACCTCCGCCTCAATGCGGTTGAACTCGTCGAAGCAGCCCCACGCCCCGCACTGCACGAGGCCGCTAAATATGGAGCCCATGGCCTTGTAGTCCAGGCCCTCCCCGCAGTTGAACACCACGCACAGCACGGCTAGCGACTTGGCCAGGTCTTTGACCGTCTCGGTCTTGCCTGCAGTTTGTTTCGAAGGGCAAGGTTGTGTTCAGCGCCAGAGGGTTCAACGCTTGAGAGAGCCAGGAGATTGGGATTTGGAGTGAGAACGGATGGTGTGGGGATGCTTGGGAGTGGAGATGTAGCAAGGTGTGGGCGGGCATTCGCAGCAAGGGGTCGTGCCGAGCTGATTTGTGTTGCTGCAACGCAGGGGCACGACTGCGTCCCTCACCCGTGCCAGCCGGCCCCGCAGGGGCGCCGCCGAGCCTGTAGGTCAGGGCCGTCGTCAGCGTCATATAGCACCTGGAAAGGGCAGAAGGGGAGCAAAGGCGCAGTGTAAAACCTGGCAGTTGGCCTGACCCAACTGACTAGTTTGTACACGGGTCAGGCTGCCTCGCTCTGGTTTGCTGCCAGGTTGCGGGCAGCAAACCAGCAGCGCTGAAGCCAGGGAGTTTCCCTTCCCCTTTTGCCCTCACACCTGTCCGTCAGCGCCGTGATGACGAGGCGGCCGTTGAGCCCCATGTACTCGTAGCCGAACCGGAACAGGCCGGTGCACTGGCGCACAATCAGGTCGTCCTGAGGGCCATCACAGCAGAAAAAGGTGTAGACAGCAGGATTATGGGGCAGCGCAGCGCTGTGATCGGCAAAACAGAAGGGCACAGGCGCCTTCCACCAGTTTGTTCCATGTGCCCCGCTCACACAGATTGGCCTGTCGCCGCCGAGGTGCAAGGGCCTTCTGCACGCCGCCTCGCGCCCCGCGCCCCGCGTCACCTGGCCCACTCACCAGGCCCCTGTCCCAGTAGAACCGCAGCTGGCTCTCCCACGCAAACTCGCGCGCGTCCATGACGCTGTCGCGCACAAACATGTCTACGATGTCGCGCGCGTGGACGTCCGTGATGACCAGCGTGTTGACCTTGCGGCGGGCGTCACCGTTCAGGTCCCCGCGCACCTGCAGTGGGCATTGAAACCGGCACAACTTATGCTCGGATGCGTAGGTCCAGTGATGTTTTCGGTTTCCTCGTTGTGTTTGGCTAAAAACAACAACGGTAGCTGGAAGCCGCAAGGGGATTACCTGGGAATGGGCGTTGGGGTGCAGCCACTTGGCAGCCAAACCTGGGCAGCCCAACCTCGCTCACCATGGCCGTGAGGTCCCCCAGCTGGCCAGTGAGCTTGGCTGCAAAGTTCTTCATGGCGTGCTTGTCGCCCTCACGCACGCGGCGGAACACGTCCTCCGTCTCCCAGGTCCACCACACCTGCGGCGGCGTCCGTCGGCAGCGGCCGGCGTGCGGCACGGCAGGATAGCTCATGCAGGGGTCGCTCGCGCCCGCGCTCATGCCCTGTATGTAACATCAAAATCACTGCTTGATTTTTCAGGCGCTGCTGAAGCAGGCCCGCATGCTGAATCAGGTCCGGATGCATTCCGGCTGGGTCATGGGGTGGGTCGTCCGCCTACCCACCTGGCTGCCGGCCAGCGTGACCATGCCCAGGCTGTCCAGGATCCAGCGCGACCGCGAGGCCTTGGCGTAGTTCCACACGCCCTCCTTCATCACCGCGGCCAGGGTGGCGCGCATCTCGGCCTCCACGCCCGTCATCCAGGCCTGGAGCGGCGAGCGGGTGGCACACGTGCTTCAGACACCGATGGGGATTGTGTAGTGCATTGAGGAGCACAGGACCGCAGGCAAGCTTTTGGTATCTCATGCAGATGGCTGGCAAAGAAGGCTAATCTGACGGGCAGGAAGGCGTGTTGGGTGGGGTTATGTTGTGCTTGGCGTGCCCTAGCACGATGGCATTTTGGCGCGCACCTCCACCGGCCCGTCCACAGCCACGGCGCTCCTGAAGGCGAACGACTCCCCCTCCGATGACGTCATGCCAACCACGCTCTTGTTGCCGCGCCCAAACTTGAGGGCTGTGTGGCAGGCACGCATGCGCAGGGCAGTGGCCTCAGCCGTCTGGTCTTGGCAGGACAACACCTCAGCCAAGTGGGCTGCTGCCAGGGTCAGCAACCCACTAGGCCTTCAGGGGAAGCTGCAAAGGCACCCACACGACAATCGCCCAGCCCAGCGCAGCAACCCCGTGCCCGTCCCAAAGCTCACACGCAGCATTGTCAAAGAGCTTCAGCATGTGCTCCTGCACGCTCGTGGGGTCGCTGGTGCCGAGCACGGCCAGCAGCTCGTCGTCGCTGATGAAGTAGAAGCGCGGGAAGGCGGCGCGCTTGGTGTCCAGGTAGTCGCTCAGGCTCTTCTGGCAGAGCTCCAGCTGCTCCGACAGCGCGCGCAGCTGGTCCAGCCTGGGGGGGGGGTGCAGTTTGGGCGTCTGCTTATCGGCAGCTTTGAGCGCAGCTCCTCGGCGGCGGCGGCGGTGCGGAGCAACCGCAGGGATACACGCAGAGCATCGTGCAGCACGCAGTGAGAGGGGCTTGCAAAGGTTACATAGCTGCATCACGCGCACCTGCCGTCCGTGCTGCAGGCATCGAGCACCAGAGTGTTTTTGGCCGTGTCGTTCATGATTGACAGCCAGGACCTGGATTTGGGAATGGCAGGTGATCTGTCAGACTTGCCCTGCCTTGTTTTGGGCATGTACAGCTTGCCCATCAAATCACGAAATGTTGCTGGCTGTTATCTCGGGGCCCCGAGCCAGCCGGCTCACCTGTCGATGGTGTCGAAGCGCTTTGCCTCCTGTGGTAGCTGGTGGCGGATGTCATCGCTGCCTACAAAAATGGACTCCAGGTACATCCACTTGCGCTGCACCAGCATCCACACCTGTGTGTGTCGGGGGTGCATGTGTGTGTGTGTGTGTGTGTGTGTGTGTGTGTGTGTGTGTGTGTGTGTGTGTGTGCGCGCATACGCACGCATTTGTGCGTGCACGCGCGTGAGTCAACATGCAGGCAATTGCAAGCTTGTGCGCCCACGAAAAAGGATGATGAGCCAGACACCTGGTGCAAAGGGGGGAACAGTGTCAGCACTCACAGCCGCCCCATTCACCTCAATGGCCTCGCTGATGAGGCTGAGCTTCTGCTCCCACTGGCGGACCTCCTCCGCAAACGGCCTCACGTATGGAGATGCCACCATGGACTGCGCCGGCGGCGCCGCAGGCGGTGGCCGGGTGGGTAGAATGGGCGGTGCATCTACATGCTCAATTAGGCTTCGAGCATAGGGCTTATGTGATGCCCTGGGCCTAAAGAGCAGCTTTACCTAACCTCGATTGCAACAAATCGACCTGAGACCCGCCTCGTCCCGACCCCGACACCCCATCCCAACAAACCCGATCCCTTGGCCCCCCAACCAGCAGCACCTGCAGGTTGAGCCCCATGTCCTCCAGCAGCAGCGACACCTCGTCCACGCCCTTGAGGACCCAGCCGCGGTCCATGCCATTCTGCAGAGTGGTCATGGAGATTGGCATGAATGCAAACACCAGGGCTCAAGATTTGGCAGAGCGCCCCAAGGGCAGACGCTCGCCATAACCCCATGGGGCGCTGGCTAGGTGGCACTCTCTTGGCTGATGCGCGATTCTTCACGCGCAAGCAGAAAACTAGGCACCCACGTTGGTGTATTTGTGGAGGCTGAAGCGCTGCTCCTTCCAGAGGTCCCCCAGCTTCTTCAGCTCGGTCTCTATCACCAGCTCCTTTGCGGCCGCAGACGTGATGCGGCCCACGTCCTCGCCAAACTGGACGCGGCGCGGGGAGGGCAGCAGCGGGGCCCGAGTCGGCGGAGGTTCGAAACATTCCGGGTTCAATGATGATTGAAACCCTCCGAGCCACGAGCAGCAGAGCATTTCAGGGCCCCTAGCAATAAACCCTAGCCAGCTGTGAGCGCCCCCGGTCCTTCAATGACCCGTGATCAGATGCGGCCGCCTCATGAAGCATGAATCACAGCCGAAGCGGCAGCCACGCACCCTGTGCAGCTGCATGGCAAACATGTTGCCCAGCGTGAAGGTGCGCGGGTCCATCTCGAACTCCTGGCCCGTCGCCGCCATCAGGGCGCGCCAGTGGCGCGGTCGCAGCGCGTCGCCCTTGAGCTCGCGCATCAGGGGGAGGCTCTCCAGGAAGCCGGCAACCTCGGACTCCACCAGGCCGTACACGGGCATGTCCCGCACGCCGCGGAGGCGGCCCAGCTTGGCGGCGATCTGCGGCGGCGATGTAAGGTTGGCTTCAGTGTTGGAGCACAACCCCTGTCAGGAGCAGGTTTGGGTGGTTGTCAAGATGTACCGCCCCGTGCCAAAGTGGTCGATTGCGCTTACAGTAGACCGACAACCCAGCTGATCCTGGAGAATCTTGGGCATTGCCACAGCAAAGTCTGCGCAAGGGGCGACCCACCTCCTGCATGCCGTCAACCATGCGGCCGACGTCCAGCTCGCTCCACAGCTGCCCGCTGTACTGGCGCACCGCGTCCGCATACTCCCCATAAATGCCATACACGGACCCCAGCCGCCGCAGCTCGGCCTCCACCTGCAGTTTTGGAATGTGCAGCAAAAAGAGAGGGGATGAGCTGCCGTTGTCCAAGCTCTCCTTATAGCAGATAGAAACTGGTCAACTCACACTGTGCCGCAGCTGAATCGCGCACCCCCATCATCACCCTCACAACCCCAAGACCAAATGTGCAGCCAGCAAAGCAGAGCTTTCCGCCGGGAAGCTGAGCAGGCAGGACGTCAGCAACAGGCCAGACATCAGCCCCCGGCGCACCTCTGCCAGGACGGGGTAGGCGGTGACGTCCATGTCAAACAGCTGCTCCGCCAGCCGCAGGGCCTCGCGCCGCGCCGCCAGTACCTCAGCCTCCTGCAAACCCGCGCGTACCCGCGGATAAAGGGTGAGCTCGAGGACGGCGCAACACAGCTCCGGGGTCCGACCGTGTACCACTCAAGGGCCGAGCGGCGGCTGCTCCTGGTGCGCGGAGTGCGAGGTTGCGCCGCTGCGTGCCCGTCGCACCTGCTGGAACGCGCGGAGGAGGTCCAGCCCGGCTGCCAGCGCGACACCCGGCGTTCCGGGGCCCTGTGCCTTGAGCTTCTCAGCGAGGGCATGCGTCTCTGCCGCGAACTCGGCCACCTGTCGCAGCAGAGAGGTAGGTGAGAGGAGCGCCTCGCGACGCCACGCATGGCTCCGCCGCTTGCGGGAAAGAGGGTGGGCTTTGTGCACACGCAGCCAGCGTGGTCAACTTGCTGTACTTCCAGGCCCCTGCCAGCCGACAGCCGCAATCTGCCCTATGCGTCCCAGCATAAAACCAGCGCCCCATGCCCCGCACCGCTGACCTGGTGGCGCGTCGTCTCGCTGAAGCGCCCCTTGACGCCGTCCAGCTCGCAGTCGCGCTGCTCCGCGCGCTGCGACAGCTCGCGCCACTCCGCCGCGATGCGGGCGGCGCTCTCCAGGTCGGCGCGGCACTGGGCGGCCGCAGCCTCCCCCACCTGGGGCCGAGCGTGGGTTTAACCCGGTTGCCGGCTCCGCACACGGCTCTCGCAGCTAGCAGTTGACACGCTGCCTCCTGATGGCTCGAGTCGGGAGGCAAACCCACATGCAGCGCTGTTTCTTGCAGGCCGGCGCCCGCCGGTGCGCTGCCCCGGCGATGGCCCCCGGCCAGAGGGATCTGGCGGAGCCCGCGCACCGCGAACAGCAGGCGCGTGCGGTAGCGCTCCTCCAGGTCTGCGCAGCGCAGCTCCATCATCATGCCCTCGCCCCTCACAGCCGCCACCACGCCCAGCAGCTCCTTGAGCTCGTCTAGGGTCGAGGGGTCCTGGCGGGGCACGGGAGCGCGGGGCGGGGCGCGCGCCCCGGGTGCAGGGGTCGTGGCTGTGCTCAGGGGCCTTCGTGCACGCACACTTTGATCGGTGTGATGGCAGCCACCTCAGATCTACAATCATGCAATTACGACGCTCAAACGTCCAACCCCATGAGCCTAGATGGCTCCAGAAGGGGGGAAGCATAGGATGCTGATGTGGATCCCGAGGCCCCGCCATTGCCAGGGGCCATCGCCCCCGTGACCCCTTGATGGATGGTGGCCTTTCGGCACGTGGACGTTTGCTGCCGCTGCCAGCTTCAGAATAGGGCCCGCTTTGCCCAGCACGGCAGGGGGCTGTGCCCAGCCCGGCCTCCCGCCGCTCTCACCCGCGCCAGCGCCTCGTCCATCGCCGCCATCTTGGCCCGCAGCGCCGCCGCCGCCGCCTCGTCCACCTCGCGCATCGCGGCCGCCAGCGCGCGCGTCCACTGCAGGCACTCCTCGTGGACGCTCAGGCCGAGGGCGGCGCCCGCGACGCGCACGAACCCCATGTCGGCGTCGCGCGCCTGCTCCCAGAAGTAGTCAGCTTGCTGCAGCGGGGATATGCATCGTAGAGTGCGAGCAGCAGGATCTTCATCCAGCCAATCTTGTCAGCGGAGCACCCCCTTTGCCTTGGCTGCTCGCTACATGAAACATAGCCAACCGTGACACCACCAAAACACCCGCGATCGTCAACGCACGTGCAGATGCGCGTGCGCTTTTGCGGCAGGCCCGCCCTTGGCCACTACCCCTTGAGCCGCACCTTTTTGAACAGCGTGAACTTCTCCACGAACGCCGCGCAGCCGGGTGCCTTGGCCTTGAACTTGTCCAGCAGCGCGGCCTTGTCGGTCTTCCAGATGTCGCCCCAGCGGCGCCACGCCTCCAGGTGGCGGGAGATGCGCTGGCCGGACTTGGTGATGTCCTGGTGCACCTGCACCGCAGACGCCATCACCTGCGTGCGCGCACGTATTCAGGTGCATGCACGGCGTTCAGGTGCATACATGGCCAGATACAGGCCGCACCCAAAGGTATGGACCGCGCAGCATGGCGATCGGGCACTGAAGCGACGTGGGAGCACCGTGCTCGCAGCGGCGGCGGTCCAAGGCACAGGGACGCCTGCTGCCCCGTCCGCTGGCGCAGTCGCACGGATGCGGTGTTCCCAGTGCGTCTGGTTCGTGCAGCAAAGCACACCTGCTGGATGCGCAGCACCTCCGTGTTGTACGTCATCACCAACGGCTCGCCCTCCGTCTCGCCCTGCGGCCGCTGGTCCGGCATCTCGACGCACGTGCCGTCCATCCAGCGCACAAACTCCCTGCGACGCGGCGGGCGGCGGAAAACGGTGCGGCAGGGCAACGAGGCGCCTCGAGGCCGGCGGCCAATGAAGGGGAGCACTATGCTGTGGGCGACGTTTTTGCACAAGGTTGCAAAACCTGCCGCCGCCGCCCGCACCTGCAGCTCTCTGCGACGTTCTTGACGTAGCTGGTGAGCAGCTTTGTGGTCTCCTTGACTGGCGGCTGCACCACCACCTCGGCGTTCTGGAGCGACGTCTTGAGCTGTAAGCACGATGCGGCGTGGCACGCATTGATGCCTTGGTTTATGGGGCTCAGCACTACCAAATAGTGCAACTGGGTCTGCGAGGCTGCCTCCGCAGCTCCCTCCCAAGGTGCTTGCCGGAGCGGAGGGAACGGCGCTTGCTGTGATCAAGGGGGAGTGAGGGCGCGGCAAGCCGGGCTCACCCTGAAGAGGGGCTGCTTGGCAGCTGGCCCAAACATTGTGTGCAGGCGGTCGAGGCCGCGCAGCAGCATGACGGCCAGGGCGTTGAAAACGGCCTGCTCCCAGAAGCTGTAGTAGCCCGCCAGCTGGGGGGAGCGGCCGTTGTTGGTGCCAGCCACCAGCTCCTCCAACTGCAAAGGGTATGGGGGGACAAAAAAAGGGGTGTGATAGGCACTGAGGGGCAATCATTCCAGCACAGAGCATGCCGGCGCATCGACTGTCACAGCACACACAGCACAGCCTTCTATTCGCAAAGCCAAGTCACCCAGGATCTGTGAGGTACATAGGAATGGGGAGGGGGAGAGAGATAGAATGCGCGCCCCCACGCACCCACACATGCACACACGGCACGCACACATGCACGCACAATTCATACACACACACACAAACACATACGCGCGTGTGCAAATTCACATCCTCCCCGACCCCTCACGCACAGTCACACACTCCATCATACCCCACCAGCTCACTAGCAGGCGCACGCACCTTGCAGAGGATGGGTGTGAGGGAGCGGTACTTCTTGACGGCCACCTCCACCACTGCCGATCGCGCCTGCTCCATGCCCTCGTAAAACTCCTGTAGCTCAGGCACCTCAGACCCTGCAAAAGAAGGGTGTCGCACCATTCCGCACGCGCCACATGGGTACAACCTGCCACAGGGAATTATACGGCAGCCACGCCCCCAAGCACGCGGCACGTTGCCTCGAGCAGGAGCTTGCTTGGGGCAGCGCGGCAGGCGGTTGCTGTGCGGTACCTTGGGGCACCTCCGCCACCAGCTGGGTGGACGCGATTGCCCCCACGGCCTTCTCCAGGATTGCTGCGTTCTTGGACACCTGAGGGGGGAGGATTCAAGGGTGCACGGGACATCGCTGATTTTGTGCACCCCCACCTGCGTGTGTAGCCGGACCCTGGGTCCCACGTTGCTTAAACAAAGCCCAGCCTCCAAAACCCCTAACTATTCTGGTCCCCTGTGCCGTGCAGCCCCGGCCCCCCAACCCTCGGTTCCGATGCGCCTGATTCGTAAAGCGCGGCCGGCCCCACCCCCACCTGGTTGACGACGCCCCGGAACTCGTGCACCGCCGCGCCCGCCTTGCCCACAAAGTCGTCAATGCCGCGACTGTTCCAGTTGAGGCGGACGAGCCCGGGCTCCAGGCCATGCGCCAGGGCGGCGAGCTTGGCTGACAAGAGATCGCGCTCTGCGTCGCTGAGGGCGCCGACCACCTGCCGCACACACAGTGGGGCCCGGCAGGGGCCCCCACCCCACCCACACGTGAGAGCGTGTCTCGAGTGCAGCGCCGCCTTGGCGAGTTCACGAGACGCGGGGCCCTCGTCGCGGGCGGCCAGGCGGGGGGCTACGCTGGCTGTGCGAAGCGCAGCCGCCCTCGTCCACCTTGTCATCATATCATCACTGTAACAATTCTTATGCAATTCCTAATCCATCATCCCCCACCTTGTCATACTCCTCCAGCAGCCCCTCGAGGGCCTCTGTCCACCGGCGGTATTCCTCCTCCTGCAGCGCCACCTGCGGTGGTGGGTGAGCAGGGAGCACGGCGCGGGGTGCTTCGGCGATGCGGGCTGCGGGTGGTGGGCGGCAAGCTCGGGGCAGCAAGGTCGTGGCAAGGCTACAAAGCTACCTGACACCAGGGCGCCCAATTTGCGGCGCTCATTACAGGCTCCCAGAAGGCATGCATTCGGCCGCCAGCGGCCGACCTGGAGCGCGATCGGCGGTATGGGGAAGCGCTGCCTGTCGAGGTATCGAGCCTCCAGCATAAGCTGGTGCAGGTCAGGGTGGAAGTTGACCGTCACGTGGCCTGCACAGGAGGAGCAATGGACAATCGGGGTACTTTACACTCCGAACAAGTCTGCCTTGATTACGCATGTTGGAGTGATCCCTCATCAGATCGCCCTGCGCCGCTTGGCATAACGGAAGTCCTGTTGACTTTGTGGCAGGAGTCAACCCCAGGTCGCAGCGCCTGGATCACCTGTGGCTGGGTCCTTGACCAGGATGGGCTGCTTCAGGTGGGCCATGGCCACAGCGTCGGCTCCGTCGTGCCAGGCGGCAAAGGTGGCCTTCTCGAAGCGCATCACGCAGCGCGCCAGGGCCGTGTAGCCGTCATGCACCTGAAGCGAGAGGCGGGGCCGGTCTCAATGCTTGTAAATGCAGCGCAAGCATGCACACGTGTAAACGGCATGCCTTTGTTGGGTCTATGTTGTGTCACCAGTTTTGACCAGCCACCCTTTCCTAGCTGCCTCGCACGCACCTGTTGCCCAACTGTGTGCTCGCACCAAGCGCCGTCCGGCTCCGCAACTTGCAGCTTGGCCATGGTCTGCTTGACACGGGTCAGGAGCAGGTGGCTCCACTGTATGGCGCCTGAGGGAGGTGGTGTATGTTTCGCACAGAGAATGCTCAAAATCCCGCCCAATTGTTGTCTATCACTACACGTATGTAGGGCTCAAACGAACGAGGGAGCGACCGATGGCTAAGCAGCATGGACACGACCCTGGAAGCAGATGAGGCAGCAGCACGGCATGTCGCCCTTCCACCTGCCACTGGCGGCTGGTTGCGGGGCACGGGAGGGTTGGCCTTGCACCGCTCAAACACCTCCTGCACAATGGGGTTAACATGGTGGGAAAATATTGCTCTCAGACAAGCACTTGCCTCACTGCTCCCCCCTCACATCAAATCGCATCCTCATCCTCTTGCCGTTTGATGCCAACACCCGCCGACCACCACTTCCCCAACACAAACCCCCGTTGCCCTCACCCCTGCCACCCAAGCGTGCGTGGCACACGCACCTGTCGCATGCGGCTAACGGCAGTGGAACGAGCCCTGCTAGATCCATGCACTTGGCTGCCCGGCCTCTCACCTGCGCTGCGCCGATCTCCCTGTGGAACTGCTCCAGAATATCCACCAGCTTGTTCATCATCTGCTGCTGGATCGCGCCGCGACTCTCGATGCTGCGGAAGTTGGACAGCAGCTCGAAGGCGCCCTCTGCGCTGCGCAGCTTGCGGAAGCTGGTGTCAATCAGCTCGCGCTGCAAGGAGGGGGGGAGTGCGGGCCGCAATACGTCAGAGTGTCAAGACTTCTTGCGGAAGCCGCAAGCCTCTAGCTCATCAAACAGCAGCCGACCCCCATTGCGAAGGTTGCAGCGCACTCTTGAGCAAACGACGTTCCTGACTGACACGAGTTAATTGGCACCCTGCTCTCCCAATCAAATCGCACAGCCTCAGCAGGATCAGATGTGGATCAGCTTTGATCCACATCTGCTCTCCACGTCCCTTGCCCTGCCCACCGTGGCGGCCTTGACCTCCTCGTTGTCCTGGTAAAACCGCTGCCGCAGCGCGCGCCATTGACTTGCGTGGGCGATGTCAAACACGTTGAACAGCGCCGTCTCAACGGGTTCCACCATCAGCTGAACGCGCTCGATGACATCATCGATGCCCTTCGTGTCCCCTTGGTTGGCGCGGGGTGGTTGGCCCCAATTTTGAGGGCGGCAATACATGCAAGAAAAGGCCGCTAGAATGCTGGCAGCTGAAACTAGGCTTGAAGTTGGACATTTCCAAACCCATGCAGCCCTTGCGAGCAGCGTGGATTTCACATCCAGGACTCGGTCAACACGCGGTCAACCGACCTGTGACTGCCTTCAGCTCCGGCCCCAGGAATTTGAAGAAGTCGTCCACCACCTCCACCATCTCCGCCAGGGCACCGCAGATCTCCGCCATGTAGTTTGTGCGGCCAAACAGAGGGCCCTTGAGGAACTCCCAGCGTGCGTCGCGGCCGCTCAGCTCGATCTTCTCGCGGACCTGGGTGTGGTGAGCAGGGGAGCTGGTGGGTGAAGACTGCCTTTTGCGCGCAACGGTGAGCGTGCACGCGTGTGCATGCTCAAGAGCGCGCGCTCGTGTGTGTGTGTGTGGGGGGGGGGGCTCCCACGTGCGTGCGTGCGTGCGTGCGTGTGCGTGCGTGCGTGCGTGCGTGTGTGTGTTTGTGTGTGTGTGTGTGTGTGTGTGTGTGTGTGTGTGTGTGTGTGTGTGTGTGTGTG